TTGCGTACATAACCGAATGATACCCAAAGATGTAAACGAATAGCGTGTTTGATGCAAGCTTGCCCGTTGTTGTCAAGTGTAAACAAACAATGAGGTAGCTCGATGTATCACTAGATACGAGAAACGAGCATTGCTGCTTCACTGCGCCGCACTTGCGCTGCCATGCATTGTTCATGAGGGTCTGAACATATGGGATTGCCAATGTTGAAGATGCGATGTTGCAACTGTCGTATCGCCAAAGATCTGCCCGTTTTGACTTGTTGTGTTGGTCACGTGACGTATTCAGAGCGGCTTTAAATATACCAGGGAAATATACCTCCAGATATGACAGAATAGTTCGATTTCAAGCAGCAAAACTAAGCACATTGCACAAATACACATGAGTTGTTGTAATCAAGTGTGACTTTTTAAGTCGTCTATCATCTAGAATGTCATGCATCTCTTTCGTTATATCCACGTTGGGTATCCTCCTTTTTTCCCCTCCAGACGGGCACACCATGAAGACATTAGGATAAACATGACCATCTCGGGGGTCTCCAGTCCCCAAGTGTCCCGAATCCTTGCCTCCCGGCCACCCAGTAGAACGATACGCTGCGACGGTTGTCTCGCAAGAGAAATTATGATCTAAAAGCTCATAACACCAAAGTAGACGCAAAACCCACGATGCCTGACCATGCAAACCGGACCCAGAAAAAGCAACTTTTGATCTCCATTGACAAAGTGAAATCAGTCTTGAACGCACCACCCATCAGCAACGAGTGATTTAGAAGTCGTCCTCGTCAGAGAAGACCTGTTGAGAAAAAGTTAGTGAACCTGCTGACAGAACAATAAGGGAGTGTGGATTATTAAACGTACCTCCTCACCACGCTTGCGGCGGGCCATACGCTCCTTCTTCTTCTTGCGGAGCTCGGCAGAAGAAAGCTTAGCCTTCTTCTTGGTGGAGACGATCTTGTTGCCCATGGCATCGAACTTCTCCTCCTCCTCACCATCGTCCTCCTTGAGACGAGGACCAGAGCCCTGACCCTGGACCCAGTTGTGGCCGGAAGGAGTCATCTTGCCGTCCATGACAGCCCAGACTTCCTCAGTCAAGTCCTTGGTGAACTCGGCAGAGTGGGTAATGATGATGACACCACCCTCGAACTTCTTGAGGGCCTTGGAAAGGGCACCAAGAGAGTCACGGTCGAGATAGTTGGTAGGCTCGTCAAGGACGATCAAGTGAGGACGCTGCCAAGAGCAGGCGGCAAGGACGACCTTGACACGCTGACCACCGGAGAGACCGCGCATGCGGGAGTGAGAAACAAGCTCGGCATCGAGACCGAAGTTGGCGCAGTGAGACTCGATCTCCTTGCGGACAAGGGGACGGAACTGACCGGAAGCGAGGGCCTCCTTCATATCGACATCGGCAACCATCTTCTGGTGAGAAGCGAGAAGCTCGTTACGGGGCAACCAAGCGTTGTCAGCGGTCATCATGGGGACCCAGCGCTCGTTCTTCATGCCAATGTTCTCGCCGAGGGCGAAAGAGCACTCGTACTCGTAGGAGTTCTTGAACTTTCTACGGCTGTGAATGCCAATGACACGACGGGCAGTGCCCTCGATCTTGAAGACCTTGTTCATGGCCTCCTCATCGGCCTCGGTGATGATCTTGTTGGCACGATCCATGGTCTCACGATCCTCACCAGTCTGGAAACGCCACTGGATGTACTCGGAGGGAGTCTTGTCGAGGTGGTTATCGATATGGGCGAAAGCGTGCTGCTTAATGTAGGCGATACGGATGTTCTCGTGCTGGTAGATCTCACCCTGGGTGGGGATGAGCTCACCAGTGAGGACGTTGATGAGGGTGGACTTGCCGGCACCGTTGGGGCCAATGACGGCAATACGGGAGCCGAGCGAGCACTGGAAGGAGATGTCGGAGATCTGGGGCTTGGCGGTACCGGGGTACTGGAAGGACATCTTGGTGGCACGGAGAATGGCCTTGGCCTTGGTCTTGACACCCTCGAGGAAACCGGGCTCGGGGAAGGAGAACTCCATCTCGGAGGCACCGAGCTCGTAGTAGGACTTGGCAGAGGGGACACGAGCGACGAAGTCCTTGAGGTTACCACGGTAACGCTTAAGCTTGAAGCGCTCGTAGTGGATAATGTGCTGGCAGACGTTGTCGAGGAAACCAGAGTCGTGAGAGACGATGATGGAAGTGCAAGGAGAGCTCTTGAGATAATCCTCGAGCCACTTAACGTTCTTGACATCCAAATGGTTAGTGGGCTCGTCGAGGAGAAGAATATCGGGAGCCTCGAAGACGGCACGGCACAGGGCGAGCTTCATCTTCCAACCACCGGAAAGAGCAGAGATGTCGTTCTTGATCATGTCAGGGCTGAAGCCGAACTCGGCGAGCTTGGCCTCGACATCCTCGCGGGAGGTCTCGACACCAGCCTCCTTGAGCTTCTTCATGGTCCAGTCAATGGTGGTCATCTCAGTGTCCTCGGAGTCAAGGTCGTGCTCAACGAAGACGGTCTTGACCTCGGACTGCTTGGGGAAACCCTCGACCTGCTCGTTGTTGATGGCGCGCATGAGGGTGGACTTGCCGGAACCGTTGGGACCGCAAAGACCGTAGCGCTGGCCACGCTTGAGACGAAGGTGGGTCTGGTTGAGAAGAATCTTGGCACCGTAGGCAAGAGAGAAGGTGCAGTTGCAGAGATCCTCACCCTCCTCATCGTCAGCCTCAGCCTCATCGGCCTCAGCGGCACCGGGGGTGGCCTTCTTGCGGAGGGCATCAGTGACAGCCTCGGACTCAGCGTCACCAACGATGACGGTGAGGTAGGGCTTGACGGCCTCAGCCCAGATGGAGGACTCAGTGGCCTTCTCGGCAACGAGCTGACCAGCAACGGCGGCGATGTACTCGACAATGGCGGCGGACTTCTCGAAAGCAGAGGCGTACTTGCTGCCGAGAACCTCCTTGAGGTGGCCAAGGACGATGTTGATATCACCGGGGTTCTGAGCCTCGGGGATCTTGCCGTCAACAACATTACCGACGCGGACGAGGGTGTCGAGAGCCTGCTTGGTCTTCTCACGGGCCTCGGGATCAGCGAGGTTGTCGTAGTTCTTCTGGAGAGCGGGCATCATCTTGGGCAAGAAAGGAGCAACAATGTTGGGGTCGTCGACGAGCTTGCACATGTTGTCGACAATAACAGCGGCCTTACGCTTGATGGCGGTGTCGCGCTCGTTGAGACCACGATCAAGGAGAGGAACCATGAGGGCAAGAGTGGGCTCAGTGACCTCAGTGACGAAAGTGGTGGCACCGAGCAAGTGAACGGTCTCGGGGACGTTCTCGGGCTTGGCGATACACTTGATGAGCTCAGGAATGAAGCGCTCGATATCACGGTTGACAATAAGCTGGCAGAGCTTCTCCATGGTCTGGTAGGCACGCTCCTTGACCTCCTTCTTGGTATCCCACATGGCCTCAGAAATGACGGGGATGAGGTCGGGGACGAGGAGACCGAGCTGGACGGGGGCGGTGCGGATGAGGGTGTCAATGAAGTCAAGGGCGGTCATCTTCTCGGGCCACTTCTGGGCGTTGCGGATGGTGTCGATGAGAGGGTTGAGGGTGGCCTTGACAGCGTTGGGGTTGATGGCCTCGGCGATGGCAAGAGCGGCAGCAATGGCAGCGTTCTTGACAGCGGTGATCTTGTCACCAGCGGCAGTGAAGACGCTGGGGAGGAGGGCGACCAGGTAGGGCTCAACATGGGCGGAAACCTCGCTGTGCTGAGCGATGGCCTGGATGGCAGAAAGAGCCTTCTCGCGAGCGGTGGCATCCTTCTTGTTGGCGAGCTGCTTCTTGAGCGCCTCGACAGTCCTATTGGTGATTCACATGTTAGCACAGCGTTCTCCAAATTTTTTGATGTCTGTGTTTGTGCGTGGCAGGGAGATTGCCCGACTGGGACACTGGTGCCTGCAGCGATGCACAATGCTCATTCGATGGATCCGACCCCCAACAAGAAAAGTCGGACCTCAAATTTGACACCGTCCTGCTGAGACCACCATATCGGTGACCGATCCTTCGGAGAGGCATTTGTGGTCCATGTCCTTCAGTACGCCCCCACTCCACTTTTGGCGGGGTAGGTACGCTTCGACCGCCAACTGCGATGCTCAATTTTTTTCCCAGCGCCAAGGCAGACAGACGCCAGGGGAAGGCAGTGGAGCGGCTGATGCGACCCAGCAAAACTGAAAATTGTGATGTGAGGAATTCTTACTTGACGGGGGTATCAAGGTCCTGGGTGCGACCGTTGATGAAAGAGGCAACCTCGATGGAAGCCTGCTTGACGGCATCGGCCTCGTTGGCGATGGTGAGCTTCTGCATGAGCTCATCAAGAACCTTGAGGCTCTGGGCGTTCTCCTTGGCGGACATGATGACTGATGTGGTCGTGGAGTCGACTGAAAAAGCTGTTGTCTAGGTCGGAGATCAAAAATGAACAAGTGCCGTCGGTCTGATCGAAGCAAGCGACTTGAATGAAAGAGTCGTGGAGGTTTTCGATGGAGGGTCGAAAAGGATTCCTGACTCGAGATCGGCTCTTCTGAAGAAGTCGCGCGAAGAAAAGGTAAGAGACTGAGTGGAGGGCGTTCGCGGAGAACGAAACAGTCGAGTAGAAAAGAATGGAGGTCAAACCTGAAGAAAAAGAGAAAAGAGAGGAGGGCAGTGGATGGGGCCGGGGGACGGAGCAAAATATTTAACCAGGTCCCTGTGGGTGGTTTTTGCTGGGCGGCGGATTTTGCTGCAGGCGGCGACGGATGTGCGCACAGGCTTTTTTTTTTCGGTCGTCCGCTTGTGCAGCAAAAAAAAAAAAAAGGTTTGGGTCCGGTGTGGTAAGTGGTTGAGGGATCCACCAAGATGGCGCCGGTGGAGGGGGGGTAGAGAGGCTAACGAAGGGGGGGTCTGACTCTAGGTGGCAGGGCGTGGGAGGCGTCGTGGCCGAAAAAGTTTTTTTTTTTTTCTCTCTTTCCCTGCACTCCTTCACTGGCTGGCGAACGACCCCGCCAGGCAACCTCAAGAACGGGAACCTGGCAACGTGGCCAGGGTTTTACAAATCCCCAGCCCACGCAACCGGGTCCAAGTCACTGAGCGTTTTGACGAATTGGCATGGCCAGATTTGGGATCTTTGCCTGTCTGCATTTTGTGGTCGTTTTTGTCATTCACTCGAAGCTTTTCTTGCACCTCTCGTCGGTTCTGCTACTTGAAGTCTCTAGAGCAATCCCAGATCTATGGTCCAAACTCGGGTACTCCGTCATGGTACTAAGCACTCTGCCAACTGACCGTACGCAAAATGACAACAAGCGTTGGTGGTTGACGAGAATTTCACGACTCCCTTCTCTTTGCCCCTCCATTGATGGGCTTCAGGCCCAAACACGCTGGAGGGCCAGACATCCCTGCTTTTCCTTGACGATCCCTGCTTATCTCTTTATCAAACACCCGCGCCATTCCTGATTTGGCCGCAGAGGAGGGCGGTGAGCTGGAGCGTTATGCAAAAAGTCGAGTGCTGGCCCGAATTCACAGTCGCCCAGTCGCCCCTGCATTGACAGCGTTTTCGTTTTCCTCCATCATCACCGTCGGAGACTCGTCCTCGGCAGAGGGGGCCAGTCCCTCGCAACTCGAGTCCTAGACTCCCAGCACCCGAGCAAACTAACGTGTGTGGCAAGTTGATGGGCTTGTTTGAATGCGCAATCCATTGCCATGGCCGCCTTGGTGGGGCAGCGGTTGAGCATTAGGTAGGATGGCACTGAATGGGAAAAACAAGCAATGACAAGTGTCTTCCCTGTCTTTTTTTTTTTTTTTTTTTCAATGCGATTCCATACGGGTACCACTCGGATGGAGTTCACCAAGTCTCTTGATATCTGAGCGGAAGCCAAATAACCCCTTGCAACAAACAAACCCCCTTCTGTCCGTACAGTTTTTGTGTGTGTACCTCGGACCAGGACAGTTGCTCTGTAGGCGTGGCTGACTGTACAAAGCAATCTCGGGGATAAGCCTCACAAGAGGTTGGGGAATCACAAGCAACACATCAATCAAGGCGACATGAAACAGTGAGCGTGGGATGGTGGGTGAGATTGAGCATTTCTCGATAGGATAGGCTATACACTACACCAGATCCGGCTGCGACACATGCTGTTCTTCTGCCGTGTCCTTCCCCCACACTAATCACCTGTGAGGGTACCATTTGGTACCCATTACCAGATTTATTCTGAGTTGAGCAAGGACCTATCAGTAACCGTTTATCATGTCTCCAGTCCTTCTCTTATTCTTTCTTTGCCACCCAGAGCTCGTTGCCTTGTCGACGACCATGATCCAGCTTATAACTAGTGTACCTGTTGAGATTTGTAAATCCGCTCGAGCCATCTTGGTGGAAGATATCTTTGCCTCCCTCATGTCTAATCACACATAGCTTATGTCGTATAGTCATTGACAAAACGTTGCCACCGAGGCCAGGTCTCTGGTGCCTATTGAGACGGATTCTGACAAAGAAAGGCCAAAGGGGAAAACTTGGACGAACACTCGCTGTCAAGTTCCTTGTTAGGAGACGGGCCTCGTCCGTTTATCAGGTAGTGTACCTACTCTACTTTCTGGTACCTCCTGCCTATCAAAGCTCAGCTCGCATCCCACATGTTCTACGGTACCCGCTTCCTGCTGTCTGTGTACCAGCCCAGCTGCGCGTTGCGACTGCGATAGGTACATACCGACCTACACTTTCTGAGGTCCATTTGTCCTCCAACCCCAATTTCCCATTACAGCACACCTGCTTCCCTTTGCTGGATTCTGGCTGTGCAACCTGGCGCCTCTCACCGCATCTCTTCGTCGTCCTACTTTGCCTGCTTTCCAAACATGGTTCCCTTTATTAACATCGTGAATATTTACATGGTCATGCTCATAGTGAACACGTACAATACGGTATCCCTCTCTCTTACACTACACCTTGGGTCTGGCCCCTCCGTTCCCGTCTGCCAAAAATCCGGGGCATGTCGGGATCCCCGCCACGGCAAAGGATGCCTGCTAGCTTAGACAAACAATGCTGCATCAACTTTCCTATGGGTCCCTGTTAAGGCACTACGGCAGCTGTGGGGAAGGGGGGAGGGGGTCGGAAGATTTCTTTTGCTGCTGCGTGTTGCATCTCTACACCACTGCGGGCATGCTGACCTCAGACAAGGCCTGGTTCGCTTCTCACTGCTCGGTGCTCACAGCGGTTCTCGTCGCCCTACGGTCCTGAGGGTCACTTTGCACATATCATGTTATCCCTGGCAAACTGAAGGCTTGTGACTGTGAGTTGTGGCAGGCAACTTGCGCTTCGGGCGGCCAGGCCTTTTGTTTGTGCGCGTGTGTGTGCGGGACAAGTGCCAAGACCTTGAAAAAAAGATGCATTGGCCCAAATGGACGAGATGGGATCCGACCTCGAGAATGTCTTGGCAAAGCCTTGTTGAAACTTTGGCCCCAACGGGCCTTTGTCTCGACCCCCCAAAAGCAAACGTTAATTTTCTTTCGGAACTTTCTCTTCCAGTCTTCCTTCGTTACCCGTCTGAAGCCGCCCGTCCGGCATCTGAAAGTTTCGCCACTACGCCCGCAGCGCGCGGGATGCGGGTACCATCCCCGCTCCGGCCGACAACGACGCCCTCCGGCTTTTACCAGGCATTTGCCCGACGAGCATCCAGTCTGGCCGATCATGTCGGTGGCTGCGCCGGGCCCGCGAGTTGCGGTCCCGTGAACCGTCAAGAGGACTTCTCATCCGAAGAGCCATGGCAAAGTTTGTCTGTTCACCTCTTTTTGTTTCTGTTGCCTTGATACGCATCTCGACTGAGGTGTCTCAGTCTACCGTCTAATCTCGGGGCAAGGGGTTTAGTCTAGGTTCCCAGGAATCAGGCATAAACCGTAAAGTATACTGCCCGGAAATGTGCATTATATGCCCACCAAAATAAGTGGGAGAGACGTGTTGCCGCCCCGGAGCACCATGAAGTCGATTCTTCGAATGTCCTACCTTTTCCTGCCTATCCTTTTATGGCCCTGGAGGGTGGAGATATCGAAAATCACCGTCTTGCATATGTAGTGTACAATTTCTGGTGGGCTCCAATGGTGCAGTATGCTTGTAGATTATGTCTGCTTTCTAGGGAACCTACCGGTAGGAACCTAAAACCCTTCATCAGTTTGCCCCGAGATTATACGGAACCCGACCGAGTCTGCATAGCAAATATGAAAGGTTATCAAAGCTAGTAAACTCATAACGTAATCAGCCATCAAGGTCCTCAAATGACAGCAGCAACAAAGTGTCTACCTACCAGCGGCCTCTACCTCGAGTGCCTGAAGAGTTACTAGGCCCACCATCACTTTGTTTATCTCTTCTGTCAGTCTACCCAAGTTGCTCACCCTCTTCGCCCTCCGAAGCTCGTGTACCTCGGTTTGTGCTCGTTTCATCCATCACGACCCGGACAACTGCTTGGTACGCTACGATGCTGGCGTCTGCCACCAGCGTCCTACATAGACCCATATGGTGCCGCGACCTACGGGTCGGTATATCTGACAATTGTTCCCATTTTCTTGCTGCCATGCACAGGAGGCAATGCCTTAGACATCTTCAATTGAGAACTGGATCAAGGATGGTCTATTGCGGCGACCATCACGGACGCAGTGCGTGGGCTAGGTAGACACTTGCGATCATTCACGAGTTACCATAAGAAAAGAAAGGAAACAAATTCGATTTATATACTTTCTCTGTAGAACGGTTTGTCCATGGCATCCTCAGGAACGTCTGCCTTCCGGGGTTCCAAGGTTGTCGCATTCCTACCCAGTAACAATATGGGGATGGCCACAAACACATATAAAACATAAAAACATGTCGTCTCAGGGCTGTGGTGTAACTTGTACATCTTCAATCATTATTCAACCCCTTTCCAAAAGGGTACCTAGGTATCATACTCAACCTCTTCATATCGTACACCCCATCCCTCCCTCTTCCTTCTATCATTACAGCCCATATTCGCACCATCAATCATCTCATATCGTCATTAAACCTTCTTGACTTTCCTTCCAGGACTTCCTCGAACCAAAGCCAAAAGACATTCATGCATCCAAAGACTCAAGCCCCCTTTTTACTCCTGATGGCTCTTACTAGCCGCCCCTTCCTTCTTCATCCACTCGCAGCCCGTCAACTTGCCCGCCGTCTCCTCGACCGATCCGTACCCCGACGTGGCCGGGTCGCGGCCCTCGGACGCCGCTCGTAGAGAGGCCTTGGCGTGCGCCTTGTCTTGCTCGCCTGACGAGGTCCAGGCGTGGGAGCCGGTGATGTTGCCGATTGCGGCCTGTTACACAGAGATGGGTTGTTAGTATCCCCAAGGCAGGAAGTAAGGGAGGGTAGGGTAGGGGAAGAAAAAAGGAAAAGGGAAAGGGAAAGACGAACCTCAGCTGCGCCCTTGATGTACTCGGCGTGTCCGGCGATCATGCTAGGCTGGGACTCGTTGGGGTTGTTGCTGGAAGAAGAAGAAGGGTTGGTGTTGGAAGAAGGGTTGGAAGAAGACATCTTGGGCGGTGGGTTTCGCTTTTGTTGTTGACTGGATGTATCTTGGAGTATTGTTTTGGCAGCCTTGACTGTTTACTTTGACGAACTTTGGAAGAGGAGGATTGTGTATAATTGGGAAGAGGATGGTGTTTTGTAGCTGTAAAAGGGTCTAATGATGACGTCGATCCGCTGACGTCATGGGTACCTCTACGGCATCGATCCCGTCTTCTGCAACTACACTACAACTGCAGGACCCCTGAGGCTCTCTGCTGTTAGCTATATAACGGCATTATTGCGCTTAATTAGGAGCGTGCACATTTAAATTGTTGCCATGTCAAATTGGTAATATGATCCATATCGAATTTGAGATCATGAGCTTTGCTTGTGTTTGGATGTTTAATCGGCGCACAAAAGGGGTGAATCAGCATGGGACGTAACAACTTTTCATCGACGAGTTATCACCATCTAGATCTAGAGTCCGTCCTTCGCTATCCCGAACTCGGGTCTCTCTCAATCTCCTGCCATTCAGAGGTCTCGAGAGGAGGTAGCCCGGGTGGGTAGAAGTAGAGTGGTAGACAGGCGCTCCCGACAAACAACAGCGACCCAACTAGGTATTGTTGAAATACACAACAACACTTTCCTCCCGGGAATTTCCCCAACGATCACAAGAGCTCAGAATCACACACCCGAATCATCTTGGAAATGCTTCGGCTCGTGCCAGTCCCACAGGTTCTTCGGCTCCCCATACCACTCCCTCCACTTCCTACACTTCTCCTCAATAACCGGCTTATCTTTCTCCATGATGGCCGGAATCAAGTCCTTGTTCTCGATGATTTGCATAGCCAAACCCGACGAGGCATGGAAGGCGATGTGGCAGTGGAGGATCCAGGCTCTGTTTTGTTATGTTGTCAGCCAGCCAGCCATCCTGACATTGCAAGGTTCAAGTTCTGGAGAGAGAGAGAGAAAGGAAAGATTAAGCGATGTAGCGAGGAACTAAATGCAAAAAGAGAAAGAAGAAAAGTAGTAGGACCAAGAAAGAAAGAAAAGAGGGGAAAACTTACCCAGGATTATCCGCCTTGAAAGCAATCACCACATAGCCACTCGCCGGCAACAGCACCACATCCCTCCTAGTCGGATTCTCGCAATCCAGCCTCTCATTGTCGCAATTCAACTTGTCGGGGGTAAACCACCTCTTGCCCTCCCCAATGTGACCAATGTCCGGATCATCATACCAGTTCTTGCTACTCTGTCTTAGCACCGCAAAGTCGTGGCCGTGTAGGTGAATCGGGTGTGCAGCAGGGAAGAAGATCCGGGCTCCCTCGGTGGGAACTTTATCGGGAGCGGTGATCACCATCCAGATCCATTTGTCGTCGTCGGGGTTGGAGATGGGGAGGGTGACGATGTCTAGGTGTGGTTTGGTAATAAGGGAATCGAGGGACGAGAGGGAGAGGAGCGTGGGGTCGGAGAAGTTGATGCGGAAGGGGGCAATGTGCATGTCCCAGCGGGCCTGGTGGTGGGATCAACGTTAGTGAGGAGAGAGGGATGGAAGGGAAATGTAATAATGTACGTACATAAGGTTGGTCATCGGGGATATAAGGTGTGCTGGTGTTGGGACCGCCGGACATGGTCAGGCCGACGTTGAAAATGTAGCTCTCGTTGGCTGGGAGTTTTTTGGGGTCGACGTTGGGGTCTTGCACCTTCAGTCAGCTCTCTTTTCACTATCATAGATTCTGATGACACCTTGCATGGACTCACCAATATTCACCGGATTGCCAACGGTCCATGGTATCTTCGGCACCAGCTTATCCAGCGGCTCATCTGCACAGTTGGTCTCATACAGAGGCGGTTCCGACATGGGATCAGGTGCCGACGCCATGGTCTGGTAAGTCGTGTTGTACCTGAAGATACCCATCTGCTCGTCAGGACCGTAGGGGAACTTGCTGCACTTTCTTGCCGGAATTACCCGCATCCAGTAGTTGCCGTATCTCTCGGCTTCATACGGGTTTTCTAGGCCGTGGACGAGGACGTGGTATCTTTGACCTGTGTTTTGCGTCAAGTCAGTATGTTGAACCTATACCTATGAAAGGAAGGGAGGGGATAACTCACCAATCCCAATCTTCAGATTTGTCGTATTATACGGCACAATCGGCACAAAATCCATCTCAATAACCTCCATGGTATGGTTGTCAATCGAGAACACAAACGTCGTATCAACGGCCGTGTTGATCAAAATCAGCAAATGCTTCTTCCCCTCGTCCAAATAAAGCGTGTACTTCTCCTTTTGCTTCCCACCAGAACCAAACTGTCCCACCCCGTTGATCAGGATATTCGTCATCGACGGCGCCACGCCCGATTTAAGCATGAGCGGCCAGTCTTCGAACACACTCCGGTGGTTCCAGTCTGTGAGCAGCAAGGGACGAAACGCCTCGTCCGCCTCAAAGTTTGCTGTTGAGGGGCCGTAGATGGTAATGGGACCCAAGAGCCCGTCGCCGTATTGTAAGGAGTAGTGGCTGTGGTACCAGGCGGAACCATATTGCATGGCACGGAACCGGTAGGTGAAGGTGTCGCCAGGGGCGATGGGGCATTCGGTTATTCCGTTGACGCCGTCCATGTGGAAGGACTCAAATTGGCGGAAGCCGTGCCAATGAACCTGACGGGATGTGTTAGTGGAATGAAGGGCATGAGTGTGGGAAGGGATGATGGGAATTGTAAATGTCTTGGAGAATCTTACGGATGTGCCGTTCCAGCGGAGATTGTTCTTTACAGTTACCTCTATAGCTCTGTCAGTGAAAATTTCTGCGTGATGAATTGTAATGTGAATACGCACCAATCCAGTCACCCCAGCAAGCCTCTGTCAAAAACAACCGTTAGGATCAACACTCTAACCGTCTTCGGAGGACATTCGAGAGGAGTACCACTTACCAAGCCAAGGTCCCGGATAAGTGCGGTTGAACACCTTGCCATGTTCCATCGTTGTACCATCTGGGGCAATGGGTTGCTCTGAGACTTCCAGGTAGAACTAAAGAGTTTACCTAATGTCAGTCACAATGTACATCGCCAAAACAATTGAGTGTGGAGAATGGATAATTTACCAACCTTTCTAACCTTCCCCTTTGGGATTTCCCACTCATTCTCATAATCAGTCATAACATCAATCCGCTTATCATTATGCTTATGCTTCAACCAGCATGTCCTGTTCTCGGGGCTATAGCAAGGCTCCCAGTCCTGCATTTCGGGATAATGACAGTTGAGCCCTCCGCCGGGACCTCCTTCTTGGGGACTTTTGGGTGTTCCGACAACGGGGTGGTCATTCACCATGTAGGAATGTTCCTTGCCGCCGGTATAGAGGGGTACTACATCCTCGGCGGCATGGTTAGAGATCGGGGGAATAGGGTGGTGGGGGGAAGGTGGGTGATGGTGAACGTTTTCCAAGGGGATGGGGAATTGGGGACGCTGTGATGAGAGATCGTTGCCGTCCTCGGGGGAAGAAAAGGTGAGGAAACTAAAGACCTGCACGACGCTGGTCCACACTGAGGTGAGCCTCATGGTGGGCGTCGATGAGGTTTGGAGATGTATCAGTCAAGGCACAATACGACGGGGAGGAGGAATGTTCAGTTTGGCTTAAGGGAAAAGGTGCATACGAAGCGAACAATCATGTCCATACTGAAGAGCTCAACCTTGAAGCTTTTTATAAGCTTTCAACCTTTCGTTAAGCAATGTCTCATCCATACATAACATGGCGGTCTCGCCCGTGGGCTTGTAAAGCCTCAAACGTTAGCATGGTGCTTGTGGGGTATGAGGAGGCAGAAGGGTCACAGTGTGATCTGCGATATAAGGTAAACTAAGCTACTCGCTCAGCTTCCCCGCCGTATGTAGCTAACCGTCGGTGTGCCTCAGAAGTAATGGGCCAGCGTGGGGTGGTGTGAGTTTCGCAGCTCTCATGGCAAGCCATGATCCTCGCGGTTTCAATCGTCAACCAATGAAGCTTGAAAACACAACACAAGTTCTCGTATACTCTGCACTAACAATGAATTATCTTGTGTCTTGGAACCTTGTGCCAGAGTGTCTTGGGCTCTAGCATGAGCCGACCCAGTCATTGACTTACTAAGGAAGCAGCCACAGCTCTATTGAGCGGCAGCTCGATGATGAAGCGGGCTGAACCACCTCATGCTGTCTGCGGTGTGATATTGATCCCATTGTAAACGAACCTAGGGGTTGTGGCTGGCTGGCGAGTCTCTCACCTCCTTCACAGATTTCTGCAGTGTGATGTCCCATTGTGGATAATCTGGGAGTTGTGGCTGGCTAGCAGGTCTCTTTCCCCCTTCACAGGTTTCTGCAATAATCAACTACAGATTTTTTCAGAGACCACAGGTGTCAACGACAAATGAATGTATAAGAAAACTTGATTCAAGCTTGGATGCCCACGCACTCAGTAATCTCCAGAGCATCTTCATGGCCACTCGGCTCCCAGCTCTTGATAGACCTGCTCTTGTATTGCAGATTCGGATTTCCCTTTTCTTCGGCATTCTTGTCAAGCTCCTGCTTCTCGGCCACACTGGCTCCGACCCACTCGGCATATGGCGGGTTTCCCGGTAGAATCATGTTGTCGGCAACCAAGACGGTGCCTGGGCCGACAAGGCCGAGTCTCTCACATCGCTTGAGATCACTGGTATAGCTTGGCTTGTGATGGTCAAAGAAGGCCATGGCAAGCTGAGACTTTAGCACGCCTGAATCGTAGAGGCGTTGAATGCCCTTGGCGCCGGTGCCGACAGTGATTCTGACGACATCCCTGAGGCCAGCCAAGTCGACAAGGCTTGCGGCAACAGCAGCAAAAAGGGGGCTCTTTTCGACACTATGGTATTGCTTTCCGCCAGCCTTTCTCAGTGCATCGCCAAACAAGATGGCGGAGTAGCCGACATAGCCACCCAGCTCGAGGATGGTGGCTGGTTTGTAATGGGCAATGAGTTTCGTGACCACAGCACCTTTTGCCTCGCCAATGTTGATCAAGCCGGTCACAGAGCGGGCAAAGTCGTCGATGGCCTCCAGAACCTTTTGTGGGCTCCCGCGCAGCTGGTCAATGTCCGGACGGCTGTAGACATACTCAAGTAGGGTAACTTCGCGGCCATCACTATGCTGTAATGCTCATGTTAGCAACTGGTCACGGGGAAAGACTGAACAAATCATGGCTACTGACGAACTTGCCGTCCACCTCCCAGCTCTTGTAGATCTTTGAGCGATCGAGTTCTGAAGTCTCCATGATAAGATGGCTTCTTGTTCTGTGTAACCGATGAGACTTTTGCTTTTGTTCCGTACTTGGTTAGGTGAAAGTGTCTTAACACTTGGATGGGGAGATGGAGCGGATTTGTAGAGATAGATGTCAGAGTAGGACACACGATAGTCCGAATAGGTGCATGACACAGAGCGCGGACTTTTAACCAATCTCGTCCCGCGACTTCTGCGGTACACTTGTACGTTCCTTGGAGCAGCACTGATGTGCTGTACGCAACACGGAGTCCTTCATGTGATAGTCAGCGCGGAGGAGTGCAGCCACATTCCTAAACGAAGCAAACGACTGGGCGAAGATACCATCTCGGTAGCTCTCCGTCCAGCCCCGGGATGCTGACCCTAGATACGAAGTAGGGCGGGCAGTGTTCCTGCCGAGCGTCTTGATGGCCATCTTCCTGAGGTTGAGCCCGAATGCGTGGCATCGAGATACGGCCTTTCGCTGTCTTCCATAGCACGAGGGAAGATGTCAGATTTTCTCTGTCATTGGTTGTGACGGCTGTACATGGATATTAGCACGCACTTGACAGGACAGCAGTCGTGACATGACGGGAACGGACAGTCGATAATCGTCGGTAGGAGGTAGATGAAAGGCATCTGGCATGTTGAGTGGTCGGGAGGAAACAGATGAAGCCGAAGAATGGACTTGGCGGTTGGAAGTGGAAGTTGAGGCCGAGAAAGGAAAGCGGGGACGAAATGGTACCTAGGTACCTAGATACGTACCCACCGTAACCCCACTTATTTGGTCTCGCCAAATCTCATTGGCCAATCTCCACTTACAGGCGGTGATCGCTGAAAAGGAAGCCAACAATTGCTTGGTCAACCAACGTCACCATTTTCCTCCTTCGGTTTCCTTTTGAATGTGTTCAGCCTGAAACCCTTCGTTTCCGCAATCTGGGTGTCCTTCCGAGACCTGCTGCCCATAAACCTTCCAGATTATTGGTATCATGCTACGGTACACAAGTATCGGTCTTGGGCAATTCCAAGCCACAGTGGTGAAAACCCCCACTCCATTTGCTTCTGTTGAATGGATATTCCCAGTTTCGAAGGATTGCTTCTTCAAGCTGTGTGTTGGCCACCAAATTCGACCATACGAGTGTGAAGAGGGAGGGTTCAGACTGTGTACCTAACAGGCCAAAGGCCGGGCACGGTGAGGACCAAGGAGTGGAGGTGCCGATGATGGCCCCCTTGCTTTCTTATGAAATTCTGACATCGATGGAACTCATCGCCTCCTCCAACCGGTCCTGTCCAATGGCCTGTCAAGTTCAACACAGCCGGGTCTGTTCAGCTATGAGACGCTCTTCCCATCGTATTGGCTGGCAGGCTGGCTGGCAAAAAGCGTGGAAATAGCATTCGCAGTCACTTTCAGGAAACAAAGGCTGCCAAATAGAATAGGAGCGATGGAAAACATCGTTTTGTCAAAGAACATCGTTTTATCAAAGCTGATAGTTGCTAGGTGGACAGGTGGGGAGAAAGCCTCCGCAGCCATTGTCTCTGCAAGAAATTAGGTATGGATGACGATCAGCTCTTCGATGAGCCGACCAGCACCGAAGAACTGGAGGGAGTGGCGGGAGATTACGATCAAATGTCTCAGCCAGAAATTGGGAGACACAAGAGGACATGGAAACCCATTATCCACGGGGTTAAAGCGTGTCAGACAAACGGGTAGGAAGAATAGAGAGATCTCAACCCCCGAGATTTGGAGTTCCGGACAGTCTGTCTTTGGATGGGTTATAGCTCAAGCCAGCAAGATGAACGTATCTGACTTCGACGAACAGCGGCATGAAGCTGATACGCTCGACACGATTGAGCCCATCGACGAGTACACCTCGCTCCTCCACCCTCCCCCATCACCACTACTGAGACCGGAATATTCCTCATCCTCATCCTCCTCTTCCTCCTCCTCACTATCGACCAGCACAGTAGAAGCCATCTCGAGCATCGTCAAACCCTACAACTTTCCCCCCCGTCAAGATGAAGAAAGCCAGGCCACCATCCTCACCGGCGACGACTCCCTCTATCGCCGCGACCTGTCCCCATCTTCCGACTTAACACTTACCCATACCGATGGAAACCACAATAACCACCATCCTCACCACCTCTCAGGCGGGCAATGGAGGAATAACCTGGTCCTCCTCCTGGCCGTCTTCCTCGTCAACTCCGACAGCGCCATCCTCCTGGCCATGTTCCGCCAGATCGCCAGTGATTTTGACAAGTTGACTTCAGCGAGCTGGATTATTTCCTCGTACGTCATCGGTGTCATTGTCACTCAGCCGCTGTTTGGAAAGTTGAGCGACATTTACGGGAGGAAGCCCATGCTTCTCATCGCGTACGTGTTTTACATCCTCGGTGGTATTTTGGCCGGGGCTGGGTTTGCCTTTTGGGGTGTTTTGCTGGGGAGGGGATTGTGTGGTGTGGGCAATGCTGGGATTACAGTGTTGATTTCTACCTTGATTGTTGGTATGTTCACTGACGCCGTCACCGAACCTAGAAAGTTCGTAGAGGTAGCTAGGTACCTAACTGACACCAAACAGACCTCGTTCCAATCCGCGAAGTCGCCGTCTGGCGCGGTTATGTCTACGCCATCAACCAAGTCGGCCGGGCCATTGGCCCCTCCCTAGGCGGCATCATCTCCGACACCTTCAACTGGCGCTGGTCTCTACTCTGCCAAGTACCCCTCAACACTTTTGGCCTCGTCTTCGTCTGGTGGACCATGTCCTTTCCCTCTCCCCCCTCCTCCTCAACCTCAAGCGCGAAATCCAAACTCAAAAGAATCGACTTCCCCGGCTCCCTCACCCTCGGTCTCTCCAACGTCTCCTTGCTCCTCCTCCTCGACCGAATCCAACATCTGCCTTCGCAAGAAGATGATAATAATCTCTCTCTAATCACCTTCCTTCAAGACCCTTACACAGTAACCACCCTTTTTCTCTGGCTCTTATTCCTCACCTCCTTCTTACTCGTTGAATCTCTCCACGCGGAGGAACCCATCCTCCCTCTACGCCTCTTGTTTTTGACCAGAAACGTCCTATCGTCCTACGCCATCCAGTTCCTGCAAACAGTGGCGCAGATGGCGCTGTTCACTTCCGTACCACTGTATTTCCGGCTGGTAAACGGGGACTCGTCAATCAAAGTCTCAATGCGACTGCTGTTTATCACGGTCGGGACGGTGTTGGGTGGGCTGGGCAGTGGGCTGGTGATCAAACGGACGGGGCTGTACAAGTGGGTGATTGTGGTGGCTGTGGTGCTGTCGGATTTGAGTTTTACTGCCATTTGGCTGAGGTGGAGAGGAGGGGAAGGGGGCACAACAACAAACTGGTGGGAAACGGGATACGGGTTCCCGGTGGGTGTTGGGTTTGGGGTAAGTTTGTCGGCGGCGTTTATTGGGTTGACTGCTGCTTTGGAAGGGGATAAGAAGAAGAAGAAGCCTGGTGAGGGGGGTGGGAGTCAGATCGCCGTGGCTACTTCGGGATTTTATCTCAGTTTGAACTTGGGAAGTCTGTTTGGGGTGAGCGGAGCGAGCTTGATCATCAGTTCGGTAGTGGAAAAGACACTCAGAAAAGAGTTGGATGGGCGGCCCGACAGAAGGCACATCATCAAGGAGGTCATGTCGAATATAGACAAGATTGGAGAGTTGCCGGATTGGTTGAAGGAAGTGGTGAAAGGGGCATATACGAGGAGCTTTGTGTATGTGTGGTTGTATGCGCTCGTGGCTGGGTGTTTGGCGCTCGGGGCTAGCTTTATCATGAAGGAGGGCCAGTTGAAGGATACCTCTAGTCAGTTGAGTGGTCCGTCTTCTGTCAAAAAGAAGAGAGTCAGTCGTCCTAGGACGGGAAGGCAGGAAGAGCGAGAGCAAAGGATTGGATACAACACCTTTGGAAGCGGTGAAAACAGGGGCACCGAGGAACAGCCACATGTTGTTCAATCGGGCTGAAGGCGTGTAGGTAAACGGATATCTATAATTGGGCTGGTACGATACGACGAAGGAAGGAAGACGAAGGTCGAATTTTTACAGGATCTAATACGCGTAATAATTAGAAGAGTCCGGTAGAGAATAATAGTTGCTAGACTATGTACAAATGAAGAACTTAGGCAAGCCTAGAGGTAGTTCGGATCTTCGAACACCAACAGACATGAAGCGATTCGCAATCTAGAAAGAAGATTAAAAGACATACAAAACTCAGCGGCCCATGAGCAGGGTCGAACCCGTTCACTCAAGCTGCGGCCTACGAAAATTGCACCACCGTTACCACGCAATGAGCAATCTTTATCTGGCTTCGCCACATACCGCTTGACCACGAGGGAATTTGGAGTTATCGGTGGCTACGGAAGCGGGACCTTATAGGGTCATAATGGAAGGAAGACCCAGGCCTGGTAGGCGAGTAATTGCACAGGTTGCGTTCGTTTGAACGATATGTGTGGTTTCACATTTGAACGAAATGTCTAGAAATAAAAGATAGAAATTTAGACAACAACTCCGTAGCTCCTATGTATCACCAATGCCTTATCCTTGTACCCAGAAACTAGTTCTACGCCTTCGTTGTTATGTGATGTATACATCTACCATATCATCTAACACTCATCCCAATCATGGAAAGCCGTGATGCCCGATGTCTAGACCTTAGTCTGGCTAACACTCTTCATCATTCTTCATGTCAATCCCACTGTCAAGTCTCTTCTTCCCCGGCTGCAGCCAGTAAATGCCTGTTCGAATTATTATTAGCAATCAACATCAATCAACAACACGTAGAATTCACAGCAGAAACTCACCATAATCATCCCCCTCGGAATGCCAACTCCTCCTCAACCCCAGTCCCGGCCCCTCACAAATTCCCCGTACATCCCTCGCCGTCCACTTTCCGCTTCCCAACACAAACACCTTCTCCCCTTCCTCCAGCACCACTTTCTTCTCCCCCTTCTTAACCACCGCCTCCATTCTTTTCAGGGGAACCAAATAATTCTCATACCGCTGCCTTCCTGCATCCCACCTGCCTTCAAACCTCCAGTTCTTTTCATCAAACATCTCCGACTCGCAAAGATGCAGCTGTAATTGCTCTCCAGCAGCCTCCAGTGCATGCAACACCCACCTCCTATTCTCTCCCCCAGGGGCATTATACGCCCTCTCCACTTTCTCTTCATCCAAACACCCATCTACACCCAACAGGAACCCCGCCAAGTTTTGCATCATCCCGTTGTTTTGGCTACTAGTGAACTTGGCCAACAGGTCCGAAGCTTCCTCCCTCTCGAGATTGGCAATGCTGTTCCCCAACCAGACCATCGTCTTCCTGTACGGCGCCAGATCGGGCTGGCTTAGCCAGCAGGCACCATCCTCGTAGGTACCCAAAAGCGAGCGGAGTTCGATGTGTTGGAGGTTTGCAGTACGTTTGCGGAGTTGTGCGAGGGAAGACTCGAGCAGGGAGCGGTCGACGTCGAGAGCGTAGTAGACTACTTTCCCATTTCCCGCTCTTGAACTTGAACTTGAAGAAGAGTCCAGACAACTATCTAGCGCCGTAAGCAGCAAAGCGGTCTTGGAGAGATTGCCTGCGCCCAGCTCGACGAGAATGTCGGTGGTCGAAGAAGCGATGGTGGAAGCGATGTCGGAAATTTGTTTTTGTAGTAGAGTGTTCTCGACCCGGTAGGGATAATAAGAAGGCGTGGCGAGGATGGAGTCGTAAAGGGATTGACCCTTTTCGTCCCAGAGCAGGAGGGAGGGGAGAAATTTGCGGCTGGGGGGTTGCAGGAGGGAGGAGAGGGTTTGGGTGTCGAGGGTGTCAAGGAGGGAGGTGGAGGAGGAGCGGATGTCGATCATGTCGGGAGAGGGGGTGGAGCGGTGGTGGTGGTAGAGCATGGATGGAAGGGCTCCGGAACGAGAGGGTGGTGTCCCTGGGCTGAAGGTGGTGACATCTCTGTCTTCGGTATTGTGGTGAAAAGAGTGTGATTCAACACCGGGAGAAGGTAGGACTTGGGCCATGGTAGGTTGTACTGGGTTGATGTGGTGAGACAACGGATATGAAATGGCTATTTGAGTCGTTGAACGTGATAAGGGTGTAACGAGTAGTGCTCAGGTTTGTCGTGTTGAAGTCGACTTGACCTAGAAATTGGCGTTGATGTGTCTTTCTTGATGGAGGAGACGTATGTTATAAACCACCTTCAACCCAGAATACATGGTCGACCATGGCAGCCTTTTGTTCAACATCTTGGACTTGTGAGCTAGCTGATGGCCATTTTGTCATTTTTGATGACTGGAAATTCCCGACTGCCTATCCGTTAATAGCAGAAAGCTATTGCATTGTCATGGACAGCACAAGGACTTATGCGAGTGAAAGGCGTCATGGAGATAGTACTTCCTAGGTACCGGAAGGCACAAGGTCCGATCAGCCTCAGCCCAGTTATGCTCTCTTGTAGCCATACGTGGGAGTATTTTTCCCTCAGTCGACTTCCCAAGTCCGTATGTACAGTAAGACCTTTAGCCACGGCCCATGATGGCACATTAGCGGGAAGATTCGTAATGTGCTTGCTGCAATGACTTCTGACCAGGAACAAATAGTCCATCCCAAGAAGTGATGTAATCGACATTCAGTGCCGATTGTTTGGTTCCTGGCCCAGGGGTAATGCAGACAGAGATCGCGTATGTATCGTTGACCCCCCATGCCTATGCTGTCCATGATGGAAAGCAGTTGATCGGATATTCAGACTTTGGATGTTGGTGATGGATGAGTAGGTACACAGTACACTGTACCGATGGGAGAAATAGGAGACATGTGGTGTGCAGAAGAAAGCTCCTATGAGCAGGGATAATCAGTAGAGGTAGGTACCTTGGTTTCTTGTAGGCCATCAGGTTCTTTTGAGGTACATCCGAATCAGCAGGTTCAACAATCAATGAATCCGAGGCAGCAAATCGGAACCGGACATGTCCGTTCAATATGCCGCTGCCCGGCGAGGGGGACGGCAGTCTTCAGCTTGAAGAGTCAGCGCCATCACGATGTGAATCCTAGATCGAGGTAACAGGTTGTTTGCTGCGTGTGCTGGTGAGTTCGTTGAAGAAGCGGGAGGCGAGGGAATGCAGTGAGATGAGACAAGATGATGGAGGTTGCTACCCATTTGGGGAAGCTGCCATGATAGTTGCTGTGGACAGGGTCCTTCTGTGCAACTACAAAAATGAGGGGTTACCTGCACTTCAACTGTGTGGCTTGTTTGTCCTTTCTTGTACAACATTGGGCACCTAAGAGAAGCAGGTTAGTCCCGCCCATGTCCTGTAAACCCATGCACCTCTCCCGTCACAGCATGGACATTCCACTCCAATATCGGATTCCTTTGACTCTCCCGCATCAACGCAGTGACAAAGAGTTTCCGATTGGAGTAGCGCAAAGGTACTTATCAAAGACACTCCCAAAAGATCGATGACGATGACGATCACCGGGGTCAAAACAGATATCTGGAACTTGGCTCGGAATCCAAGACTTCCAGACACGAGGAACTGCACATGGCTGAGATGGATGCTTCCGCATTTTTCCCAACCGTATAGAGGTAAATAGATCTGGGAATATGATCCGTCTAGACTTGTCCCAGCCAGCCATCAAGGTGCCAGCCGACTCGAAGCGGCTGACGGAGCCGGAATTGTACACCGCGTTTATGTCGTGGTCTCTGCAGATGCTCGGAGTAAACAGACGTGCTTGGGGCTGAAGAGCATGAGAGGAACTGCTCTACTTCACTATGTACTCTCATCAAGTATCGGCCGGCTTTTGAGTTGTATTTCTGAGATCCTCACACCATTCCTTGCATTCAACCACCAGAGGCTTTTTCGAGATGATGGAAGTCAAAACAGTGGATATACTCATTATCGGTGCTGGACCAGCTGGTAAGCAAGTCCAAAGTCCAAGAAGGCCGGAACATAGGCTGACACTCTGCTCACAGGGCTGGCCTTAGCCAACTGGTTCCGAAACTCCAGCATCAATGTCCTGCTGGTTGACAAGAAACCCGGGCCTACACGGCGAGGGAAAGCTGAAGGGCTGAAGTCAACGACAAACGAGATCTTTGACTCGTACGGTATCGGGCCTCAAATTGCAACAGAATCATGGAGACTAGAAGAAATAGCCATCTGGGGCCAAAAGAAGGATGGCAAAAGCGGGATCGAGAGGGAGCAGCTGATACAGGATAAGGTGGAGGAGTTGGGCAAGGTGCGGGAGACCATGTTGCAGCAATGTGAGTACTGACTTTATGATTTTCCCACCACTTGCTGATTGTTGAGCCGTATAGCGAGAGTCGAATACCACATGCAGCAAAACCTGCTAAGCCACAGGAACATTACGATCCAGTACAACACCCAGCCTGTCGACGTCAATGTCGATGAGTCCTTGCTGCATGAGGATGAAGTTTATCCCGTTGAAGTGCTCTTGGTCAAGACCCAGGTGCACCCAGAAGCGTCCTCGAATATTCTCGAGAACTCAACACCATATGTGAGAACTCCAATGTCACCAGCACTGTCAGCTGGTAATGCTAACAGGCGTTAACAGACCGCAGATGGTGCTGCCAAAGAGGTGGAAGAACGAATCCGAGCCAGATACATTGTAGGCTGTGACGGAGCTCACAGTTGGCTTCGAAAGCAACTTCAAGTCCAACTCGAAGGCGACCTAACAGACTCTGTTTTCGGCGTCGTCGACCTAATCCCCAAATCCAACTTCCCCGACCTTCGCCGTGTCTGCTACCTCCGCGCCTCCACGGGTACCATCCTCCTCGTCCCGCGGAGCAACAAGGAAGTCCGGCTGTACATCCCCGTCGAGAGCGGCAGTTCACTTTCAGACCCCAAAGAGCTCACTTTCGACCGCATCATCGATGCCGCACGCAAAATCATGTCCCCTTACACTCTGGAAGTCGGCGCAGTCTCGTGGTGGTCGGCCTACCGCGTTGGCCAGCGCGTCGGCAGTCATTTTTCAAGACACAATGAAAGGGCGTTCCTGGTAGGAGACGCGGTGCATACGCACTCGCCCAAGGCCGGACAGGGGATGAACACGAGTATCCAGGATGCGTATAATTTGGGGTGGAAGCTGAGGTTGGTTCTGCAGCCTCACCACAAACTCGACTCGGACGCGTCGAGGAGGCTGTTAGCGACGTACGAATCCGAGCGCAGACCCGTAGCCCAAGACCTCATCTCCTTTGACCGTGGTTACCTCAAGCTCTTCGCTGCTCCCTCATCCCAATTCGACACCGAGTTCTTGCAGGCAATCAAATTCACCACCGGCCTGTCCATCCGCTACCCGCCCTCATGCGCGGTGCAGCTCCCAAAGGTTGTGCAAACAGCTGAAAAGCTGGGTCCAAGTCTTCTCAAAGCTGATCTAGTGCCCGGAAAGCGCTTGCCGGATTTTCAAGCGGTTTACCAAGCGGATGGGATCACGACTTGGATTCATAAACGGCTACAGGCCACGGGTTGCTTTCGGGTGATTGTCTTTGCTGGAGACCTTGCTGCTCACCAACACTTGTCGACGAATGTGCAGAAGCTGGGGGAGTACCTCGCAGACCCAGAGAATGGATTAGGACAATTGACAGCAGGCGGAGAGGCGGCGCCGGTGGAGGTGCTCATGGTGCATAGTGCTAATCGTGAAAAGGTTGAACTGCTCGAATTGCCAGAAGTCTTTAGACCTTGGAGCGATAATGACGGATATGATTACTGGCGGGTGTTGGCGGACGCTGAGAGTGTGCATGAAGGACATGGGAGGGTGTATGAGCGGCTGGAGACTGATCCGGAGAAGGGGAGGACGTTGGTGGTGAGGCCGGATGGGTATATTGGTGCGGTGCTTGATGTGGATGACTTTGAAGGGGTTGGGAAGTACTTCAACGAGCTGGGTATGCTGTCAAAATAAGTAGAGACATGGCCAGCCTTAGTTTGATGTTGGTGATCCAAGGCGGGCACAACCAAGTCGAGTCAGTTGGAAGGTGTTGAGATGATCAGGGTTAGGGTTGAAGCAGATGACATGCCACAAGCACAGTCCACCGCCAACCATCTGCTGCTGCTGCTGCTTGCCCTGCTGCTGGTTGCGTGTTGGACCTGCCGAACGCGAGGAAGCATGTGCATTAGCATATGAGAGATAACGGCCAATTTTGGAGTCTTGACACTGCCGCCCGCGGGCACATGAATGTCAGCAACGCGGCTGGTGAAGGACCGGGCAGTTTTGACACGGATGGAATTGAAAGGCAAAAGTGTCAACTTCCATCCCGAATGCTCACTCTTTTTCTGACCTCAACATCATGATCTTTCCTCAAACAAGATCAACCTGTTACCACCGACTTGCGCGACACAACAATCGGCATCACGACGCAACCTGCCTGTGGAATGCGCTTTGAGATCACCAGATTGAAAATAGATTGCCAAATTCAGCGGCTCGCGACGACCCCTCTTCGTCATCTTCAAGTTTTCCAACCGTCCTACCTCTAGGCTTACACCACCGCAATAACCCCAGCGCCAACTGAATTGATTGGGTCGTCAACTGGGGACTGCGACCTGACGGGACTGCGACGGGGCCGGGTCCGCTTCATTGTCCGCTTATCGCTGGGCGCTACGTTAACGATAAGAAGCCAGTGGCGACGTCATCGACCCTCTCTTCCCATTTCGCATCGATCATCAGTTCTTGGTTTCCAGTCCAACGAGACAGAAGAACCACACGGCAACACGGGTTGTTCGTTGTGTTGTTGGTCCAGGCTGGTCGTACTCGCACTATTTGACAGGAACCCGTGTCATTGCGGAAACCTTGATTCAGATCCTTTCTCTACTCGGACCCTGAACCTGTCACTCATCTCCGCTGTCATCCTTTCCTGCTGCCACCTAGTGCGCGCCTACTCTGCCGACGCCTCTTGACTACACTAATACTTCTCCTTGATCGTCATCATGTCCTGGGACCTCACCCGCCGTCGATGGATGCGACGGTTGAACAGCAAATATATCTTTGACCGCTTTGTAGGTGATGCTTTCTGTTTTGGCTTCGTCTGATCTCTTCCTCTTCCTTTTTTCCCCCTTCAACAAAAGCCAAGTTCTGGAAGATTCGCATGCCCACACCTCTTTCAACCGACACAACGCCGAACATCGAGATTCCACCTCGACTTTCAACACTTGGCAAAAAAATAATCCACACAACTACATACCTTCGAGCAGCAGTTGATCTGATCTTTGCTATTTTGTTTCTGCCGTATTGCTGGTCGTTCTGTTTCGCGTACACAGAACCACTCAACTCATCTTCAAAACGACTCAAGTACAACGGCCGAGTGCTGACCGAACAATGACCTGAATTGCCTGCTCTAGCCCTTATTGCATGCCATCGTCTTCATAATCGAAATGACCATCATCGCCCGGCTCACGAGCCGGTTCAACCAGTTCTACAATGAACGACCTGGTGCGTTTTCCAAGTCCCATTCTCCTAACGCGGCGGTTCGAGTCGCGGCCATGTTTTCACACGTCACGTACGCTTTCGTTGCCCTGCGCAACCATGGCTAACAAAAGTGCCATGGCAGTGCTCACGATGATGGTGACCAATGCGGTCCTGGCTGGTGTCGCCGATACAGTAGCCCAGTCCATCACGGCGGTCCGGCAACGTGCCGTCCGCAAGTACCCACCCGGCCGAGGCCCGAACGCGCGCGACGACTTTGTTGCCTACGAGATTCACGAGCTCGACCGGAAGAACCCCCTCAACGAACAAGAGCTGATCCCCGAGTCGCGGGACCTGCCGCCCCCGTTCGACTTTGAGCGGCTGACCCGCTTCATGGCGTTCGGCTTCTGCATGGCGCCCTTGCAGTTCAAGTGGTTCGGCTTTCTCGAGCGATGCTTCCCCATCACCAAGAAGAACGCCTACCAGTCGGCTTTGAAGAGAGTGGCTTTCGACCAGCTCATCTTTGCGCCCTTTGGTCTGGCCTGCTTCTTCACGGCCATGACGCTGGCCGAGGGCGGTGGAAAGAGAGGCGTGTATGAGAAGATGAGGGACCTGTACGTGCCGACGCTCAAGGCCAACTACGTTCTTTGGCCGGCGGTCCAGGTTATTAACTTTCGGTTGATGCCCGTGTCGCTCCAGCTGGTGAGTTGCTTTGTTCTGATTGTATGGAAAGAAGATGTCGCTAACAAAGTCATGATCACATAGCCATTCGTTTCCACTGTTGGTATCGCTTGGACAGCCTACCTTTCACTCACCAATGCCGCTGAGGATGTGCAGCACACCACCCCTCATCGGGCACCTGGCTCTCCCGACATTCGTCTATCCTAAATGGTTGCGACGTTAACCATCAAGGTTCTTTCTCCTCATGCATTCGATGATCACAAGTTGCCAACTGGGGCAAATACCTACCTAAAGAATATCCGCGCAACGACATGAACAGTACTATACACCTGCCGGGTTGCCTTTGTCCCTGCTTTTTCTCGCGGAGAGGGGAATTGTAAAAGAGTTCATGGAAGGGGTTCGGAGGATACTATACCACGGCACTTCTTTTATACAGCTGACCGACCTCAAGGCGTCTTGGAGTTTTGACCGAGGGTAACATTGCCCTTTTCCTTCGTTCCGTTCGTTGTATCTAGCTAGACCCAGTCTCAATTAAAACACAGAACCATCTGACGTTAATTCTCACTACTTGTGATGTACCTGGTGCGATACTCAAAGGCGTAACGTGTGAGACGGTAAGAAGCGGTCGGGAGATCTACATAAAAGTCTTCCGAACATGAGAGATCGTATGAAATGGTTAGATTATATACCACGCCCAGAAAGATGATCACGTTGTCCCTCCATTCCTCCCCGGTAAGCCGAAATCCGGATTAATGGAAAGGGTGGTACGACTCCTACCAGGGTCAAACTGGTCGAAGGAAGCCGACATATTCTCGACTTGTCCGGTTCCGAGGTTATGTTGCCAAATCATGTTCCCGAATAGGTAAAAGTCGTGTGGAAATGGCAGCGAATGCGTGACCGCCATGTGCAGGCAGCGTGAGGCATGTTGGTTCGTGGTGCCTGCCTTGTCAAAGTTGTCAATGTCGCGATGGGAGTTTCTGCAGTGCTTTGCTTGCTGTCGTCTCAAGACATATCGTTGTATAATCGAATTTTTCACCGGTATAAGTGATAACAATTTAAGATCGTCTAATAGTCCCCGTCCAGACTTTGCCTCTAGGCATATCGGACCGATTTAACAACATGTTCAATAGCGACAATCGGAGCCCTTTGGCACTAATTTGCATATACTGCCCGCCGGGATGCTATTGCCGTTGTTCCTTGTAGAATGATCCCAGAGGCCCAGAGGGTCTTCAATGGAAGGATCACCCCATCCGCAACAGCAGACCCTCAGCGCCTCGACGTCACTGGCCCCCTCTTTGCGAATTGGCTCCACAGGAGCTCGGTGTTACCCCTCCATTCTCAATTCGCTTACCCCCTTCTGCCCCTCCATCATAGCCACTCTCTCTCCTGCCCCCGGGCCATTGCGACCGCTTCGGGGGAAGCGCCCGGCGTTGACAGAGAATTTGCGTCTTGTTGAGCTTTGCAAAAGGATTGGCAAAGCAAACGGGATTAACACAAGAATAGAAGCTGACCTATCATCATCGCGTGTTGTCGCATATCCACCTGATTCTCACCCTTCGCTTTCATTCTGTTGATAAGACATCCTCTCGTAGTCTTGTGTTTGATCCTTTCTCTCTCTTGATCTTCCTTCTCATCGTCGCTCCAGTTCGTGATACCTAGTCACATACAAATCGCCATCATGTCTCTCTCCAACAAGCTCTCCATCGAGGACGTCGACCTCAAGGGCAAGCGCGTCCTCATCCGTGTAAGTTTCTTCTAGCGCTAGCTAGCTCCTTGTGTCGCTGTGTGATTCATATAGGTGGATGGATGGGTGACCAGACAAAAGTTCTAACATGCCACCCTTCTCTAGGTCGACTTCAACGTCCCCCTTGACGCCGAAAAGAAGGTCACCAACCCCCAGCGCATCGCCGGTGCCATCCCCACCATCAAGTATGCGCTCGACCATGGCGCCAAGGCCGTTGTCCTCATGTCTCACCTTGGCCGTCCCGACGGCAAGCCCAACCCCAAGTACTCCCTGAAGCCCGTTGTTCCTGAGCTCGAGAAGCTCCTCGGCAAGAAGGTTACCTTCGCCCCCGACTGCGTTGGTCCCGAGGTTGAGGAGATTGTCAACAAGGCCGACAACGGCGAAGTCATTCTCCTTGAGAACCTCCGCTTCCACATTGAGGAGGAGGGCAAGGGCACCGATGCCGAGGGCAACAAGGTCAAGGCCGACAAGGCCAAGGTTGAGGAGTTCCGCAAGAACCTCACCAAGCTCGGTGATGTGTACATCAGTGAGTTTTCCAGTCCCCTTGGCTTCAAGATTGGGCACAGTAGCTAACACCATATTCCACAGACGATGCTTTCGGCACTGCCCACCGCGCCCACTCCTCCATGGTCGGCATTGACCTCCCCGTGAAGGCCGCCGGTTTCCTCATGAAGAAGGAGCTCCAGTACTTTGCCAAGGTTCTCGAGTCGCCCCAGCGCCCCTTCCTCTCCATCCTCGGCGGTGCCAAGGTTTCCGACAAGATCCAGCTGATCGACAACCTGCTCGACAAGGTCAACACCCTCATCGTCTGCGGTGGCATGGCCTTCACCTTCAAGAAGACCCTCCAGAACATGCCCATCGGCAACTCGCTCTTCGATGAGGCCGGCGCCAAGATTGTCCCGGACCTTGTCAAGAAGGCCGAGAAGAACAACGTCAAGCTCGTCCTCCCCGTCGATTTCACCATTGCCGACAAGTTTGACAAGGACGCCAACACTGGCTACGCCACGGACAAGGACGGCATTCCCGACGGCTGGATGGGTCTTGACTGCGGCGAGGAGTCGGTCAAGCTCTTCACCCAGGCCATCAACGAGTCCCAGACCATCCTCTGGAACGGCCCCGCCGGTGTCTTCGAGTTCGACAAGTTCGCCAAGGGCACCAAGGCCACCCTCGACGCTTGCGTCAAGGCTGCCGAGGAAGGCCGCACCGTCATCATTGGCGGTGGTGACACCGCTACCGTCGCTGCCAAGTACGGTGTTGAGGACAAGCTCAGCCACGTCTCCACTGGCGGTGGTGCTTCCCTTGAGCTCCTTGAGGGCAAGGCTCTCCCTGGTGTTGTTGCTCTTAGCGAGCGTCAGTAAGTTTGTCCTCGGCTTTCAAAGGAGTTGGGAGGAGATGTGACGATGTTATGAAACCTCTCTGATATTGAATGAGAGATCATGACTGATGGATCAAAAAAACATATGATGATAAAGGGTCCTTGGAAGGATGAGCAGGGCCAGTCTATGATAGGCACTTTAGTCCAATTCGGTAAATAGAACAAAACAGTTCAAAGTCCAGTTTTTTTATGATTCGAAGTGTGATGTGCGGATAAGCTTGATGAATCTGGTTCGTCCCAAGATATTTTTCAAGTCTATGCATCAAGTTCAAGATGAAGTCTATGCAACCCATCTCGACCCTGTGTTGATACCCAATGACTAGACAAGTCGGCACGTCTCCGGATATTGTCTCTTTATAGTCGGAGGGTCTTCTTCACCTTTCACTCGCATATCGAAGCCTCGCACAGCAATGTCACCGCAAGATCCCGGACTGAAATTTTGATCAATATTGTATTGATGCGCCTGTCCTCCCCTCATATCATACTTCGTACAAGCTTCGAAAGTCCTCCGATTACCGCTTCTTGGCAGCCTCAACCTTCTTCAGCTCCTCCCTAATGGTTTGAAAAAGACAAGTCAGTAACTGATCTGCTTTCTTCGACTTTGCTTTTTGTTTCCTCCAAAATTCCAAGATGGTGTGATTTATTTTAACGCCTGATTGACTGGCCCAGCGCAGTACCAGCCCACCGGATATAGGATTTTCAGTCCCAACCCCCTAGCGCAAAGCTAGCTAGATGAAGTGGAAGCCCATGGTAAAGGAGCAGGAGGAGGGAGAGGGAGAGGAAGAGGAAGAGGAAGAGGAAAAGGGAGGGAGGGACGCAGGTAAAAAGGGCGGGAGGGAGGAAGGAAGGAGTACGAAAAGAAAAAAAAAGACGTACTTTAGCTGCGCGGAAAAGTCGTCGCTCGTGTCATCGTCGTCCCATGACTCTTCCCATAGGTGCTTGGCCTCGTTGTTGCCCTTGGCGGCTTCTGTGTCTTCGGCTTCCCAGTCTGTTTGTTTGTTTTGTTAGTTACATGTGATCTTGACTTCAAACTGGCTTGTTGTTTCTAGTGGGAGCTTTGGGAAGTTTGCGATTGGTGATACAGGTAGGAAGGAGGAGGAGGAGGAGGAGGAGGAGGAGGAGGAGGAGGAGGAGAGGGGGAAAGGTAGTGTAAGTGGTGAAGATGGTGCAGTACAACAGCTGGGAAGCTAGCCTCCGCAGTTGCGCAAGTCGAAGGAGGTTTGGTATGTAGTGTCCGTGCCAATGATGAAGGGTACAAGAAGGGAGGTTGTTGAATGATATGATATATGGAAGCAGGTCGTGATGCGGTGGTGTTTGGGATGCGATGCGGCGTCCAGCAAAAGGTGCTTCTTAGCCATAGCAGGCAGGCAGGCAGACTAACCATCGACGGGGAAGTCCTCAAACTCGTCGTCCTCCTCCAACACGGCCGTCTTCTTCTCGGTAACGGGCTGCTCGGGCTTGGGCTCGGTCGACTTGGCGTCGTTCTTGGGTTGTGTTGAGGCCATTGTGAATCTTGTGTTTTGTGTGTAGATATATAGAGGGATGGAAGCAGCTGGACTGAAGCTGATGACGCTAGACGGATGGATTGTATCGACGAATTGTTGGAAAGGCGGGCAAACTTGTCGGGCGTACTTTTAGTCACGTCGTGGTGATGATGGTTGCGCTTTTGTTGTTTGGTATTATGCGCACGGAGTAAAATCGAAATCGTCGGTTTCGCGGAAAGATGCTGGTTACTGCGGTGGTTGATAGCTCTAGGTAGCTTTTAGTCCGTCAGTCGTGACAGCTCGTGATCTTGTCGTTTGTTCCGTCAACTGCAGCTGCCGAGTGACGGGTCCCCAACCCAAGGCGGCAGCGAGACGACGTGCCAATTCGGCTTCCTCCGCCCACTTGGCCTGGGCGAGCCAGGGGCGGCAAGAAAGAGCACGGGCCATTTTGCAGGTCTTGGCAGAAAGCTCTTGGACCCACTTTGGTATGTACCCCGCCGAGTTGTGATTGTGCTCTTGGTGTGTCTTTCTGTTTGGCATCGTCATTGATGTCTTGTCTGTACATATTGGAAGATCAACGCTGCACTGTTCAGGCATTGCATTC